GCAATTTGCATAGCATTTATAATATATTTAGACTTCATACTGGAAGATTCTGTCATCAGGCATTTTGCATAGTATTTATAATACATTTAGACATCATACTGAAAGATTCTGTCATCAGGCAATTTGCATAGTTTTATAATACATTTAGACTTCATACTGAAAGATTCTGTCATCAGGCAATTAGCATAGTATTTATAATACATTTAGACTTCATACTGAAAGATTCTGTCATCAGGCAATTTGCATAGTATTTATAATACATTTAGACTTCAACTGAAAGATTCTGTCATCAGGCAATTTGCATAGTATTTATAATACATTGAGACTTCATACTGAAAGATTCTGTCATCAGGCAATTTGCATAGTTTTATAATACATTTAGACTTCATACTGAAAGATTCTGTCATCAGGCAATTAGCATAGTATTTATAATACATTTAGACTTCATACTGAAAGATTCTGTCATCAGGCAATTTGCATAGTATTTATAATACATTTAGACTTCAACTGAAAGATTCTGTCATCAGGCAATTTGCATAGTATTTATAATACATTTAGACTTCATACTGAAATATTCTGTCATCAGGCAATTTGCATAGTTTTATAATACATTTAGACTTCATACTGAAAGATTCTGTCATCAGGCAATTTGCATAGTTTTATAATACATTTAGACTTCATACTGAAAGATTCTGTCATCAGGCAATTTGCATAGTTTTATAATACATTTAGACTTCATACTGAAAGATTCTGTCATCAGGCAATTTGCATAGTTTTATAATACATTTAGACTTCATACTGAAAGATTCTGTCATCAGGCAATTTGCATAGTTTTATAATACATTTAGACTTCATACTGAAAGATTCTGTCATCAGGCAATTTGCATAGCATTTATAATATATATATATAGACTTCATACTGGAAGATTCTGTCATCAGGCATTTTGCATAGTATTTATAATACATTTAGACATCATACTGGAAGATTTTATCATCAGGCAATTTGCATAGTATTTATAATACATTTAGACTTCATACTGGAAGATTCTGTCATCAGGCAATTTGCATAGTATTTATAATACATTTAGACTTCAACTGAAAGATTCTGTCATCAGGCAATTTGCATAGTTTTATAATACATTTAGACTTCATACTGAAAGATTCTGTCATCAGGCAATTAGCATAGTATTTATAATACATTTAGACTTCATACTGAAAGATTCTGTCATCAGGCAATTTGCATAGTATTTATAATACATTTAGACTTCAACTGAAAGATTCTGTCATCAGGCAATTTGCATAGTATTTATAATACATTTAGACTTCATACTGAAAGATTCTGTCATCAGGCAATTTGCATAGTTTTATAATACATTTAGACTTCATACTGAAAGATTCTGTCATCAGGCAATTAGCATAGTATTTATAATACATTTAGACTTCATACTGAAAGATTCTGTCATCAGGCAATTTGCATAGTTTTATAATACATTTAGACTTCATACTGAAAGATTTTGTCATCAGGCAATTTGCATAGTATTTATAATACATTTAGACTTCAACTGAAAGATTCTGTCATCAGGCAATTTGCATAGTATTTATAATACATTTAGACTTCATACTGAAAGATTCTGTCATCAGGCAATTTGCATAGTATTTATAATACATTTAGACTTCATACTGGAAGATTCTGTCATCAGGCAATTTGCATAGTATTTATAATACATTTAGACTTCATACTGAAAGATTCTGTCATCAGGCAATTTACATAGTATTTATAATACATTTAGCCATGCACATGAAAAACTTTGTTTTTAAATTTAGAGAACAAAAATAACTGACTATTTTAGATTGCTTTTTATGATTATCTACCTTGTGGAAAGTAAAACGTAGTCAGTAACGGACAACATTCAGATTAGTAGCACATCGGTGTTGGGGTTCGTCAAGGAAATATTTAAGACCTTGCTTACATTGGTTTATATTTTTACACACACACACACACACACACACACACACACACACACACAGACACACACACACACACACACACACATATATATATATATATATATATATATATATATATATATATATATATATATATATATATATATATATATATATATGTATGTGTGTGTGTGTGTGTGGGTGTGTATGTGTGTGTGTGTGTGTGTTTGTGTGGGGGGGTGATTTTGATGCTTTTCATAATTGTCAATAGCTATTAAGGTGACCTGACAAAGAAAAAAAATTATTTGGTCGAATATTTGGCTTGTAATTGTTAATTCCATCAATACAGAAACTACGGCTATCTCAGGAAGAAGAATACATGAGCGTCTTCTGTTATTCATGAATAATACTCAGTAAAATAACTGAAACACCCGGGCTTAGTATTTTTGTGTTAGTTATATTTTCAACTATATACTAGAGGAGATTTGAAAGAAAATTAATCGGCTATATGATTTGAAATTTGCTCCTAATCAACTATTTTGCAAAATGGTATCAAACTAATATTAGCTTATGTTGAAAGTTCGAACTTCAAGAGTTTTCTAACAAGTTACCTTGAAAAGTTGAACTATACACAATTTTTTTACGAGGAAAAAGTTGAAAAAGTTCGATGACGCAAGCATAAGTTAAAACATTTTTACAAAATGATGCACACTTAGGTCTCTGATTTTTTTTCATTGATTTAGTTCTTTGAATAAACCAATTTTGTGAAATGTTTGATACATGTAACAATAAGTTAGTACATAATGGTAGTGAAGGAACGAAACTTTATCAAAAATCCTTCAACCATTAGTTGTTGGAATTAACTCCCAAATGTTCCAGCTCATAGCCCAGAACTATACACTTAATTCGAACTTGAGTGTTCCAAACTATGAGCTCATCAGTCCAATAGGAACATTGTATGCTATCCTTACACAGAGACATCAAATGTCGAACCGTAACTTCTTTTATTACTCACTACACTAAACTATTTTCTTTACAAGTCAACCGAAACGTGTGTTCTAAAAGTGTTGATGTTGGCGAATGTCGTGTGACAAGAAATTCAAAATAAACACTATTGATATTCTATAATAGTTCTCGTTGTTTGCAAACTGCATTTTAAGTTTTACCATTAGCATTTATTCTTTTACTGTAATTCCAGGATGGCGTAAATCATTTTTGCAAAGATCTACTCCCATGTAAAATACAGTGATTGCCATGTTGGTCACTAGTCCAGAACTATAACCAAGGTGGCATCGTAAAGGCACGAGCTGTAGTAAATGGGTAAATGGGTAAATGCTCGACTCTCGACCGAAAGGGTGAAGATTCCACTCCTAACATCTAATAAGCTCCGGTGGTTACCATGGTTAGTCCTTGGGCAAAGTCACTTTACTATTGCTGCATAATGACTATGAAACATCACATCGGCCTAAGAGCTTTGAAAAAAGAGGAAGTTCGTTATAATAATAATTCATATGCAACTTTAACTCCATTAGGCTTTCATTAAGCTCAGTTGAATACTGTCTATACTCGTGTATAAGTCCAGTCAATACTGCAAACAACAAAGATCCAGATCTGCCGTAGCATATTGCCCCTGCAGATCATGGTTTATGTTATTTGTTCTACTGATAAATCCTAACAAATTGCACAGACTTAGATCTGCCGGTGCATTATGTGACGACAGATCTGGATCCATGCAGTTTGCAGTTCGATTCGTGTTATAAGTGAATATACACGGAATGTATTCAAGTTGATATTGTTTTGAAGGAGGGCCCTTAGCTACCATATAATAACCTCAAATGTCTTGGTGCAAAGCTTTCTATATTCTATAAATGTATATCATTTGTTGAGGACGTAATTTAGACTGAGTCATACAATGCGATATAAAATTATCATCTGGCTAGCGGGTGTCAGGGCGTCACGGGGGGGGGGGAGGAGGTGTGGGCCGCATCGGGTGACATTATCAGATGAGGGAGGGGAGACAGAAATGACTGCTATAAAATTTTGAATTTTTGTGCAGGAAGGAGGTCTTTGGTGATGACACCATGAGCTACCGCACTGGGTGACACTAACCCTAGCGGCGTCACTCAGTGGGTGCATAACATGTAATGTCATGTGATAACATTGCGAATAGATGATGGGTGTGCAACAGAATTCAGTTCTTTCGAAACCTATACAAATCTATATTTAGTTATGCCATTGTAAATATAAACAGATCAGTATTTTACTTGTCTAGGTCTATGGCTCACGGTCAGTTTCTTTTCATCTCGCCTAGTGCTTTTAGGTACATTACAACTAATTACATGTAGAATAATTTTGTCGGTGCTAATTTACAGTTTAGAGGCCATTGTTCTTTTGTAATTAGATATGTGTTCGTTTAGTACTCAAAACTAAAATAGTTTTCTTGTGTTACTATGCCATGAAAGACCAAACCAAATATACCACACAACAGAAATTAAATTATAAATAACTAATATGATACCAAACTAAGCAACAATGGATACAGTTTAGACCAGCGTAACATGGCAAATAAGTAACAATGGACACAGTTTAGACCAGCGTAACATGGCAAATAAGTAACAATGGACACAGTTTAGACAAGTATAACAAGGCAAATGCGCAACATTTCGTTAAAGCATACAAAGGCAGTCATTACCTGTGAGTGTATGTGATTTGGGTTTTTAACGTTGCTTTAACAATTGTTCAGTCATATCGCGACGATGCCTGCCGTCTGGCAGTTTATAGTGATGGGCATGTAGCATTTCCTGACACCAAGCCGACCAGTCCTAACCAGTGCCGTCTTAAGGCATGGACACACTGGGCAGTTGCCCAGGGCCTCACACTTCTAGACATCAAGTTGCCCATATTGTTAATAAATAGTAGGACCTGTTGGGTGTGGTGGTAACAGTGCAATGCTTTGCACAGAGCCTACAATCTTATTAAGATGGCACTGGTTCTAACATTAGCCTCTTAATGCTGAGAGCCTAGGAAGGCAACTGTTAATACCATATTTGGTGTGATTCGACCGGGAATTCGAACCCGCGACCTCTCACATCCGAGGCGGACGCTCTAACCACTAGGCCACCGGAGCTGTACCTGTTGAAATAATTTTAACTAAAAATTTCAGTTTAATTTATTTTATCCATCTTTAGAACACAATACTGATGTGACACCAAGCGAACACGCAGAACAAATAAAATGGATGCGATATAAAAAGTATAGACAAAACAATAGACAAAAGAAGAAGAAAATGCTACAATGCAATCCGCTTTTGACCTGCCTTAATTGCTAACTGCGTGTCCGAGGATCGGTTTTTCGCTTTACATGTCTGCCGAGTCTACGGCATTTTTTAAAGTTAGATGTAGAACAAGGAGAATAGAAACTGACATGCTGGAAGATATTTCCACGGAATAACTTGGTCCAGCTGCTTGCAGTGGGTCGTGTTTTCCATGTGAGCAGGCAAGGTGTCATTTTTCCCCATCTGAAAAAGCTGCGAGATGAAGTACATCCTTACTATAATGTGCATGCGACAACTAGTTTGGCATGGTCAGAGTTTTAGCTAGTGCAAATATCTAAGGAAGCAGATGATGTATTTAAGTCGTCTTTGAAGGGGAGTCCGTACCAAAATCCATATTTGCATATTGATCTACATGATATTGATTTACGTAATGTCGTCCTCGTGAAGCAAATAGTCATTTTGCATAGACAGAAGTGTCACTCCAGATACGTTCTATTGATCGCTGACGGCAGGTAATAGCAATTGTTTTTTGGGGTTTTTTTTAGGAAACTGATGACCACTGACTGCAGAAGTAGGTAGATCGTTACATCCAGAACGTTTATATTGTTATTGTACCTGGAAAAAAAGCATGACTGTTGTGAACAGGTGACCACTGAGTAAAGGTGACAGTTAGGACAGGCTGAAAAGTTCAAACTGGCAACATTAAATAAGGGAAAAAAAGCCAATTATGTACGATAGCATTGTCGCGTTTCAAAGTGAAGTCATCTTTATGGTTCATTGCAACATCTGCCGCGTACAACCATGTAACACGGACAGCCACGTGTTCGTCACTGCGTGAAAAGAATTGCTGACTTTATCATCGTACGCATTTAGCAAGCTCTTCCCACTCTGCAATAAAGCCCTTATTAAGAAAAGATCAAAACAATTGCTACCTAAATTGCACCGGATGCAATTATGAGGGTGAACAGTTTTCTCCTAGAGGAATTAGTTAAAGCATCAGTACAGCGTTAGTATTATTTGCTCCAAAAGAGTCAGTCTTCCGAATAGCTTGAAATTATAGCATTAGTATTATTTGCTCCAAAAGAGTCAGTCTTCCGAATAGCTTGAAATAATAGCAATCGTAGTAGTTATACAAAATATTTTAAGATAAAAGGAAAGAAATATGCAACTTAAAAGAAAACAATAAGAAAATACAAAGAATCCTACAAAAAACCCAAACAAAATCAAAACAAAACAAAATAAAACAAAACGATCCCAGGGCCCCCAAACCAACCGTTATAATAAAGTTTAAATAGTCGGTCCCTAGCCTGTTGTGAAATGTGCAAGTAATATCCGCTCAGTCGTAATAATTTCTCTAGCAGGTTCATGTATGTATGTATGTATGTATGTATGTATGTATGTATGTATGTATGTATGTATGTATGTATGTATGTATGTATGTATGTATGTATGTATGTATGTATGTATGTATGTATGTATGTATGTATGTATGTACGTCTGTCTGTATGTATCTTAGTATAATATTTGCTATATGGTGCAAGAAGAAAGTTCGAAAACTGTAAAACAAATTCCCAAAAGTTTAAGATAAATCCACACCAATACCAAGATAAAATATTAAACGTAAATACGTTAAAATTTTGCACAATGTATCAAATAAACGATAATCGTGAAACGATGTTAAAATTATGTAAAATGTATATGAAAAAAGATAAATGTAATGATGTTAAAATTATTCAAAATGTATGTAAAATATAATATAAAGGTAAAGATGGTTAAATTCTGTAAAATGTATAAAAATAAAAGATAAATGTAATGATGTTAAAAATTTGTAAAATGTATGTAAAATTAAATATAAACATAAAGATGTTATAATTATGTAAAATGTACAATAAAAGATAAAGGTAACAAACATAAAATCCTTAAAATATATGGTCAAAATCTGTTACATAAACCACAGTCACTCAAAATGTTGACGACTTTAAAAAAGGCAACATCATAAGTTTCTTCGCGCAGTTTACGTGAAAAAAATTGGTCACGGCGTGGAAATTGATAAATTCGGCTAAAACGTTTTCTTTTTTTAGCTGACACTGGCGTGATTAGCACTCTCTGTTCGATGTTTACACTTCAAAAGGTAAGATAAGTCAGGCAAAAAACGCGGGAAGTTGATGTCTTTACTGAACGTTATGATAGAGTGTGATGTGTGCACCATTAGTTGAAAAAGAAGAAAAAATCGTGTATACGCAATATCTGCTCCAGTATGATTTTGGAGGATTTACTCCGATCATTGGTGGAAAGGCCATGGCGTTTTTAGAGTGACGTATTCCCTTGTGCAGACTCCAGTGCCATTTTATGGAATAAGCACGCAAGGCGCGAGGCACATGCCTAGGTCCCCACGCAGCGGTGGCCCGAAAACAAAATTTCGGTGTCGGTTGTGTTGGCAGTTTAGTGTTTGTGCCTAGGGCCCCCAAACTTCTTAAAACGGCTATGGCAGACCCCTACTATTTAATTATCCTGGCGAGAAAATCGTTAGTATATTAAAAGAGCAAAACTACTTACATGCAACTAACATGAAACTTTCTGCATTAAAGTGTTTCTGAAAAAAATGTAAAGCGTCTTCCAAAAGCCACTACTAATGTTGACAACTTTGGATTATGCCATTTACGATTTAAAAGAAAACTCAAACGAACGAAACCAAATAAACAAGCTCTGACAGTAGATATGAAACCACTTTCCATACTGAAACATCGACACTAAATAGTAGAACACGCGATGTACATTAGCTTTTGTTGACCATCGAAGCTGTACGGGAATATACAAATACGGCGGTCATTGTCTGTTGATCACAGCTAATGACTAGTCAAATGTCAACTCAAAAATACACACTCCGTTTGAAAGGTCAGCAATTATTACAAGTTGGCACGAGTAGGTATATCTGTTAGGGCTATAGAGGTTATACGTCATGGTCGCCTGCACATAAGAGTGGAACGGGGGGGGGACTTTTATCCCCCACCCCATCCACCTAACCCTCGGATTTCGTCTCTAAACGTGTTATGGACTGCTATATGTATCAAGTGGCTAAACTATTTATGCATGCAATCACGGGCGTACCTAAAGTGATGTCATTAGCAAACTGGAAATAATTTTTACTTTGGTGAATTTTTCATTTGGTTTGAAAACTTTTACTGCTATTTAAACTCACCCGATTGCACCCACCCCAATCCTGACTGTCACCCGGGGCTGACTGCCCCTCCCCCCATCTTAGTACGCCACTGTATGCAATCTTAGTATTCTGTAGTAGTAGCCTGAGTCCTGACGCTAACAAATCGAGTGTGTAACTAACTGCATGAAACATGGCTGCAACCACTAACTTCCATTTTCAGCGACAGACCTGAATTTAACCCAACTGGTCGTAGAACACAATTCATTTTACTATATAATTTTACTATTTATTCTCTACATTTGTTTCTCAGTACTAAACTTTCCACTGTGTAACAATCAATACAAATCATATGATAATCTAAAATACTTTCAAAGACGACTTTATGGTGAAGTTCTTGTGAAAGTTTCTCCGGCATTTGTTTTTAAGGCTTGACTGTCAACAAACCCACGCACAATGGAAAACAGATTTCACTTCCGGATCATCACCAAGACCTTATTAATCACTGTACACTGTCGCCGAAGCAAACACAGACAATCACAGCATAAACTCATATACCAAAGAATAAACAATTGCCTTTAAATCCATACCAAGTTTCCTTTATTAAAAAAGAAAGTGGTCGTGCAACTAAAACCAATGGACTAGACGTTTATAATATGGATACAGAAAGGTAAATAATTACGAAACCGAACAAATATTTATATGCACTTATAACGCAAAATCATATTATACTCTTTAAAGAAAAAACTACTTTTAATTCACATGGTGTGCATATTATTCTTAAGTTTGTTTACAATTGAATATTTCAATCTGATCCATATATTGGCTAACTTTCTTTTCTAATATTAGTGGACATATACACATAGATAATGAAAAACATGCGCACCAGAATATTCTGTCTACTGTCAATACACGGGTTTCTTTGTTACGAAGGTGTGTTGTCACGTGATTGTCTAACGATTATTGTATGTTTTTAAAGTCATGCGGTTACTTTGAATACGTTTTTACTTGTTCTTGTTCGTGCAATCTCAGTAATTTTCTGTCCAATAAAAGTTTTCAAATCTATTTACATCGTAGCTGCATGATCTATTGCTGCTTCCTCGTAACTCTTTACTGTGGGAAATCCCACACCAATCCAAAGTGGTCATTAGATGGTGACATAAAAAATAAGGAAACAGCTAAAATTATCAGTTGAAGAGGGAATTTCCGATGCGAACCAGATATGGCGTGGCCTTGGCCTTCGTATACTAAATATGTGTTTACGGTCAACACAAATGATTAAAATGTAAATTGTGAATTACATCGCTGGGTCAAGACGGCATGGTGAAACCTGTATTGAAAAGAGAAATATTCTTCACCTTAACGAATTGCAACTAAATATCCGATTTGAGATCAGTGAACTACATAACTGACCACTTAGAACACTTACTAGGACTCTCCAATTATCGTCAAAGAGCTTATATTTGGGGGATTTGTGGTTGTTGCAGAGCCCACACTGGGCTTAGAATTAATGTTATTCTATTAATGTTAGTCACATCAAGCTTATTAGATCTAGTAAAAGTAGCTAAAAACTCGCAGGAGCTGGTCTAAACCTCTTTGCAACTGACAATGATATCCCTATCGATAGCTTCTTGGGTCTAATTTCAGCCACACGTCGACGCCAGTGGCACCAATAGAGTAAATTTTGCTGCTCTTT